CCGACGACGATGAGGACAATCAAAAGCCCAATGTCTCGGGTGATGCCAGGCGCGCACAAGAAGAAGCCAACCATGATGCGGCGGCGCAGGAGGATGATGACGAGGCGGAGGAAGTTCCTGAAGAAGACGATATGGACACGCAAGGATATACATCCGGCTACGTGTCTGAAGATGGCGGTCGGCAGTACCGCGACACTGATTTGGCATCACGGGATATCATAAATTCCCAGCGGATGGCGATTTGCCTTGATGAGCCGCGCGAGGCGCAATACATGGCGGGATTCATCGCACTGCAGATGTCCAAGATATGGGGGATGTTCGAGGGTGGTGAGGAGAGAACGTTGAATGCCGGACTCGAGGGGAGGCCGGGCTGCCCTTACCACAACGACTTCAAGAGGTACCCCAACAGGACTGAGCACGATCAGGAAGGGATCCTTTTACCATCAACGGCACTGAAGATTTCTCAATCCGAGAATCTTCGAACAAGGGTCTTCCGGTCGGCTGAAGAGCGTGAAGATTACATTCGTATGATGGTGTGCAAGTGCGAGGGATTATATACATTCTACAAGCTGTGGATTGCAGCGAGAATCCTCGACGTCACCAAGGACGAAATGAAGCTCCTGGTCAAGGACCGCGTGCACCCGGTGGGTGATATTATTTTTAGATGCTTTTCACTGGCTTTCAACTGTAAGTATATATCATTCGTGAGGGATGGCCTGAACCTTGGCAAATATGGTTATTCGGTTAATGTGAGCGCCATTATTGCGGCCATCGACCCGAATAAATGCGACATACCTCTGCTGGATTGGTGCCTCCGAAAAGGGTATTGGATACCAGAGGATCATAACAAGAAGTGTGTCCGGGCACGAGAAGCCCAAAAGAATTTGGACGAGGAGTTCCGTCGACGCACTCACCGACTGTCCATTGGGGACAGGTATGTGTGATGCAGATGTTGATTACGGCACGATGTGGGTTAGTCCCCATCCGTTGCTTGCGTCTCATCAACATCATTGCGATGGAACGACTTTACATCATGATATGATTTCATGCATCCAAGATGAATGGATATGTATACGTTTACATATTCCGACGACTATGACATTCCGGATATTCATGGCTGGAACTATTACCTCATGGATGATTTCCTTTTTATTATATATATTATTCATGGTATCTGGAATGGCTATGATTTGCATTGATTGCTCACCGATATTTCTTTGCCGGTAATATATAGATTGCTTACGAGCAGGCGCTTCTGTTGAACTTTTATGGCCAACCCATTTCCTATGGATGACGGCTGCGCGATGCGTAAATGCGGCAGCTGGGATGTTCAGCGGTTGTTAAATGACGTGACAATAATATATTGTATACACCTGCATATGGGGGCAGGATGCATGTTTCTTTTTATCGATCGGACCCGGCATGTTTCACAATGAATGAACGGTGTAGCGATAGCAAGTAAAAGAGTGCACGACACGATTTCGTAGCTGAAGCCGTGGCCAGTGGAACGTTTTTGTGGTGTTTGGACCGCATGATGAACAATGCGACCCAAATGGGGGATGTTAAAACCCTCTAGGCCCCGTGCCTAAATTGGGAAGCAGTTCTGAGGTCCGTGTTTGTGTTGCTTACCAGGTTCTATTGATCGCTATTTGGCTCAAGACACGATTGAGGTTCAAGATCTTATGTAGCTGCGTTTACACGTGATCGGCATTGAGAGCGGAAAACACTTCGTTTGCGCTGCATTTGTCAGGACCACTGTTGTAACTATTATTCCTTCTCCCTTACAACGTTTACACGGGTTCGGCTATAACGGCTTTGACCGTATACACCTTTCTACGTGGTTGGTATTACAGCTGGAGGGTTCGGCGCATAGCGTCCTACGGGACGTCGCCTTGCCGTCTCTTGACAGACTCTTTGCAATGACTCCTTGCAATGACTCCTTGCAATGACTTTCATGATGATGATTCCTTGTAATGACTCCTTGTAACGACTCCTTACAATGATTTTTATGATGCTGATTCCTTGCAATGACACCTTATAATGACTTTCATGAGAATAATTCAAGTGAACCTAGCGGAAGAACCTTTCGCCATGCTTTCGGGAAAATCGTAAGTAATATAAACAATTTCTAAGTCTGCTAAAAAAATCCGTATAAAAAGCTTATGTTATTTATAAATCCCGATTATTTAAAAACTTATAGTACTTATGGCATGTATAACTCCTATTATATATGGATTTTATAACTACTATTATGGAACATATAAGTATTATTATACAAGGCGAGATTCATGGTGGACGGGTTCGTATTTTTTTCCAAATTGTTAAAATCAATAAAGTAGATTACTAGGAATTCTTTTACAATAACCAAATTTTTCGAGAAAAAATCAATAAATATAGGGATTATACGAACAACTCTTACGAGCGAATGGTTTAGCTAGGGACCGACTCACCTAAATTATATTTCTAGGACAATTCTTTTTAGAAATCGATCAGAAACAACTTGGAGCTTAGACCCCCCTTACGATACAACAAGATAATAAGTACGCTTGCTCGATTGTGTGTTCGCTCGTCGTTCTCTACAATAACAGCAGGTCTCCAAGAGCAAGTAACTAGGAAACCACAAACATTCTAGTATTCGCGAAACCTCATTTCTTAATAGGCCCCAAAAAGAACCGGCGGCATTAAAAATTCTATCAGATTAAAGAGCTATCGAACATATGTCGAAACATGGTCACGACCGTGTCTCCTTGTTTTAAGCACCACATTACATACCAGAACCGCTATTCCAAAATGTTGCTAGGGAGTTCGCCACGCTCGGAACCGATGTTCAAGGCATAGTATAGGCGAAATTATGTTATTAAAAACAACGGATAGACCATGTCTATAGCACGTCTTAGTTTTGATGCTACGAATATATCCCTCTAGTTTAGTTTCCCGATAAGCTATATATGGTGCTACGAGCAAATAAATTAGAATCTCGCCCGGAGTTGCCAAATTTAAGTCGAGATTTCGGAAGAAAAAAAAAGAACATTAATTACGAGAATGAAATGGAATTATTCGGATTTCCAAAAATTCTTATTGTGGGAGATTGGCATAAATGCCATGCAACATAGCTCATGTTGATCCTTTTGGTATTCCATAGATCTAGATATCTGTAAGGAAGTTAATGCCTTAGAGAGTGATATCTTATGACGTCCCGTTATAGAAACCTGAGCCCTCGTATTTGTAAGCCTTGCACTTTTAGACGCCCGCGAAATAGCCTCCTCCATATTACGGAAGAGAAACCTGTTTTTAATAGCCTCCTCCATATTACGGAAGAGAAATCTGTGTTTAACCCGTTTGTTAGGAGGCAACGAAATATGGCAAAGCTACGACTTTGCCATGAAGGTGTGAAATGTTTCAGCAAAATGCGTTTGTCAATGGGATTAGATTATATAGGTGAGGAAAATGCGTCGTAGGACCAGCTGGCGAAGCGAAAGACTGGATATAGTTTGGCCGGGCCATATGGTTATCTAATTGAAAAGGTACTAAATTCTGATAATAAGATAGGAAACAAAATTCAGAATAAAATTGTCAATAAAAAAGGGTGCTCGAACTATAGTGATAATACCAAAAGGAGAATAGAAAATGACTAGCCCGAAAATATGATTAATAATTTATTTGTTTCTCGAGAAATATGTTAAGGCTCGATATTGTTCGCTTCTAACTCCAACGATGCTCCGTAAGGATGCAAACTTGCGCTTGGCCAAGGAAAGGCATATCCTTTACACATAGGCTAATATCAAAATCTACAACATGCCCTTTTCGAATCTATATTTCTATCTTAAGGGGCCTTCATTTTTTCTATTCAAAAAAACAACCAATTCCAAAACGACCCCGGAATCAGCGGCATCTGGCATCTAACCACAAGAGACATAAGGAAACAAATGGGAAGCACGATCCCACAGCCAACATCATAACATCTCGCATCTAACCACAAAGATTAGGAGCCAAGAAGAATCTAACCACAAAGATTAGGAAATACAAAAAACAAACAAAAAACATAATCCCAAAGCCGGCGTCAACACCTAACATCTAATCACAAAGAATTAAGACATAAAGAAATATACGACCCCGGAGCCAACATCATAACATCTAACATTTGCTTGCAAAAGCGAGGAGATAAAAAAAAAACAAAAACAAATAAGAAACATCATTCTAGAGCCAATATAAAATCTAATCACAAAGATTAAGAGATATCAGGAGACGAACCAACATCATAACATCTATCATCTAACCACACAAAAAACATAACCCCACTAACATATATTATATAACACAAAAAATAAATAAAAAATACAACCCATATCACAATATCTAATAATCTAATCATAAAAACTAAAAATATATCTCAAATTAAACCCCCCCTCAATACTGTATTATTTACGAAAATTAATATGTGTAATATATTTCAATAATATATATACAATTTATATTCCCTATATTACAAAAATCATTTCTTAACAAACCCAACCCATAATATAACATCACCAATATTATTATTACAAAATTACTACTAACAAACTCCCAACAACCTTT